AGGCGGGGCCTCCACATCATCATGATCCACTCGAGCCCGGAGCCAGATCTCAAGGCGCCAACCCCAACCCAACAACAGGGGGGGGGGCCCCAAAACCCCGGAAAGCCAAACCGGAAAACGGGGGGGACCCGGGGAGCCTCCACGGAAGGGGAAAACCAAACGAGGGGGGGAGCCCAGGCGCACTCCGGACCAGCCCAAGCGCGCCCCTTTTTCTCGCCTGGTACAGGTCAAGGCCTGTGCTGTGCCCGGGGGGGATATCAGCGCCATCGGCAGCTGTCCTCCCCCGGGGTGCCCTGCGAGTCCGTTCCGGATGGCCGCAGTGCTGCATGATCACACGGCCCCCTTGGCAATGTCGTCAATGCGCTTGAGCGCCGCCGCCTCCGGGTTCCGGAGAATTAGCTCCCAGATGGCATCTGAGACATGGCCGGTCTGGGTGACGTGGCTGAACCTAAACCGTGGGACTTTCTGGTCCACCACGGAGACATCCCGCAGCGGGGCAGACGGCTCTACCCGGCGGTAGAACTCCAGCCGTTCCTTGACCCAGCGGTTGTACAGTCCATCGGGCGGCTCGTCCAGCACCAGCTGAAGGATGGCCTTGCCGGCCCGGATCTGGAGGAGGCGAGTGCCCCCTCCCCCGGCGCGCCAGTACCCCTTGCAGTACTTGCACATATAGCCCCCCCGGGTCTCCCCCTTCGTCTTGGGGATGAGCTCCCATGGGGTGACTGAGCTCAGAACCAGGCCGCACTCCATGTGCGCCCAGAAGACGTGCTTCGTCTCTGAGAGAAGTTCTTCTTCTTGTCCTTGCCCCACCACGTGTGGACGTTGTCCGATGTGGGGGGGGGTAGATCCCCCATCGCCCTCTCCTCCCCTGGGGCGGATGTCAGGGCCATCGGCACCTGTCCGGCACCCGGGGGCGGAGGGGTCCAGGCCCATCAGCTTGATCATGTCGTTGGTGTAGCCAAGCTTGCGGTAGATGGAGGGGGCCACTGAGTCGGGGACTGCGCCGACCCACCACTGCTTCGTGTTGCAGCGCCAGTTGACTTTCACCTCCGCCAGGGCCCCCGGGCCTCCAATGCGGTTCATGAGGGCCTGGTACACCTCTGGGAACTGCTGGAGACTCTCTACCGGGACCGATATGCGCTCATCACATACCGCCCGGAGGATCATCTGTTCCTTGGAGTCCGCCACGTCCTGGACCGGGAGCTGCATTACCTCCGCCGGGGTGTCCGTGAGGAAGGCCCGGGCCGCAAGGACCTTGCCCATGGCCCGGTAGACCAGGCGCCACTCCGGTCCTGTCTGCGGAAGCGGGAGGCCCTCCTCCTTCAGGAAGCACCGAGCATCTTCCTTCAGGGTCTCCCAGCCTTCCAGGCGGACCTGATTCTGGGCCTTGTTCCTCGGGCCCCGCTGCCTAGGGCCCTGAAGCAGTGGCAGAGACTCCCAGACTCCCCAGAGCTGGCGCAGAGTGAAGCTGTGACCAAACATCCCCAGCAAGCCTGGGAGTGTCCAGGACGAGATCTGGCGCGTCCAGTGGAAGTCCTCCTCCGGATCGTGGGGGGCCGCCCAGAAGATGGATCGCAGGTCCTCGGGGTATGGTCGGTCCCCCGCCTTGGCCTGCTGGTTCAGCTCCTCAACGGAGTACCTGGCCCATGGGAGTCCACCCGCCTGGTGGTTCCTGGGATGCGTACCCTTTTCCAGCGCCTCCGGATTCACCTTGGTGAGGTTGTTGGCCCAGTCCGGGACGTGTACGGGCCCCGGTCGTCGGACCCAGCGGCCCGCAAAGATGCGGACCTCTCCGACACGCTTGCTCATCATCCAGCGCAGGACCGCGAGCTGCACCTCCGGGTCCTGGGTGTCCAGGCCCCCCGGGGTGGCGGACGGCTTGTCAGGGCCCTCGGCACCTGAGCTCGTCGCACCAGAGCCCGAAGCTGGGGGGATGGTGGGCTGCCTGTCAGGGCCCTCGGCACCTGGGCGCGCCGCACCAGAGCCCCCCGCCTTTGGAATGGGGATCCCCGCCAGATCCGGCAGGTCTGCCAGGAGGGCCCCCGGAAAGGGGTTCCTACCCAGCGAGATGACCGCCTTGGCTTCGAGGTAAGAGTCCGTGAGGGACGTGAGGTCGTCCATGCTGAAATCCCTCCATGCCGTGGTCGGTTCAAAGACCCCTGTCTCAATGGCAACTCGGACCTCGCTAGGCCACGCACTGAATGGAGGCTTGATGGGCTCGAGCATTCTGGTCTCGAGGGCGCCCTTCGCTTGTCTGGCCTGGTGTTTTGCCTTCGCCTCTTCCGCAGTGGTCTGGGCCTGGAGGAGATCCGGTGTGGGCCTCCCCCAGTCCGCGCCCAGCTTATCCAGCAGTTTCTCGCGGAAAAGGTCCAGGTCCCAAATTCTTGAGGAGTTGTCCCCCATCGCCTCCCCCATCGATGGCCCCTCCTTGGAGCTCGTGGAGGACCGCCGCGGATCGCTCCACCGCTGCCACCTGGTCTGCCTTCTTTGCCTCTTCCCGGGCGATGGTGGTGGCGTTGAGCCGGGTCTGGATTTTGAAGGCCTTCACTGCCGACGGGTGGAAGGCCCTGCACTCCTGGCCCTCTTCCTTGTCACCCGGCAACGGGGGCCTTTCCCCCATTGGGGCCGTCAGGAAATCCTCGTCCAGCTCCATGGGGCAGTTCCTGATCACCGCCCGGACCGAGGAGGGGACAAAATCCGAGGAGCTGGCCTGGTCCAGGTTCTCACATGCCATTGGGTCGGTGGCCAGCTCGCTGACATCCACCGAGGCGCTGAGCTTGAGGTCGCGGGCCCGGTCCGTATCAGGGCCATCGGCACCTGCGGACCGGGCCGCCGTCCAGACCGCATTGCCCTGGTCATCCACTGTCAGCTGCCAGTGCGTGCCCGCCATTTCCAGGGTGGCCAAGTTGGACGCCGTGTCGATGGGCTCCGTCTTTTTGCCGCACCCCATACACTTCCTGGCGCCCTTCTTCACCCAGGGCATGGTGCAGCAGGGGCAGATCCAGGATGTGGGCTCCTTACCCAGGGGGCGGTTCTCCAGGCCCCCATACCCCAGGCCAGCGCGCTTGCCAACCTTCTGTCCCGGGGTGCTGAGCAGGGCCTCATGCTCATACTTCATCTTGGCGATGTAGAACGCCTCCACCACGCGCTCCAGGCCCCCCTGCTTGAGTTGGGGGCCCTCAAAGCCTCTCAAGAGCCGCTGGACATCCTTGGCCTGCAGTCGTCGGAGCCTGGCGGCCGTGGTCCATCAAAACACGGGAAGTCGCCCGCCATCTGGTCCGCACTGAATTGGTAAAGGCCCTCAGAGACTTTGAGGGCCTTGGTGAAGACGCTTCCCCCTGGCGGGGGGGCTGCGGGGTCCTCATCCCCCTCCGAGGACACCTGCGCCCTGGCCTTTTCCATCAGGTCCTGGCGTCCCTGCCACTTGGTGTCGGACATCGGGGGGTCCACCTCATCTTCCGCCAGGGGTTCCTCCATCGGGGGCTCCTCCTCGTCTTCCGCCAGGAGTTCCTCCATGGGAACATCCGGCTCTGGAGGGTCGAGAAGCTCCAGGAACGCCCCTGGGGGGCGTGTCAGGGCCTTCGGCACCTGCGCCACCCCAGGGGGGGAGTCCGCCATCAGCTCGTCCTCGGCCTTACGCTTGGCTGGGATGAGTGGGGCTTGCTCCAGCTCGTCGGCGCTGGAGAAGAACCGTTCGTCCGGTGCCTGAGGGACCTCAGCCGCCAGGACGGTCCAACCTTCTTCCTCCCTTTTCACAAGGCTTTCCAGGTACTTCGCCATGGATGCCTTCGCCTTCGCCTTAGCCTCTGCAACCGCGGCACCAGCATAGGCGGGGGTGTACATGGCTTTGATAGGAGGGGAATGAGAAATTTCAGATTCCAAGACAAAAGGGAAGTGCCCACTTGAGCCAAAATGGTGGCCCAAGTGGACACTTACAAAGAGTCAAGACAAGCGACCACCTACGGTTAACACTTTAGCCCAGCGCCATTGGCAGGTGTCCTTTTGCTTTCGCGCCAGTTGCGGCTATTCTGACCTGTGCAAGCCAGCCGCACAAACAGCAGCATGTCCTCTGAGCCGCTGCATCTTGCAGGGATTGAAAACAAAAGCACATGATCCACTCGGCCAAAGCCAACTGGGTCCGATGAATTTGGGATCAGCCACCTTGCGGAACTGCGCAAGGCTTCTTCACTGCTTCTTCGAGGGCCATCTCACTGTCTTCCCTCTGCGCCTCCAAATGCAAAAAAAAACTGCTGGACCGCCGACCTAGAAAGCACTTAGTACACCTCGTACCTTGGAGGGGTGGCAGCGCAAACCCCGCAAGCGCTCATAGGGTAAGTGATCAAACACCATGGACTGCAAAATCTCCACACCTCCAAAGAAAACCCGGACTGAGGGACGGCCAACACAATTGGGCATCTCTACCTCTGTGAAGTTTGGTCCATTTTTGTAAGACATCCAAATGGTGGTGTTGCACTTCAAAAGAAACACCCAAAGTAATTTTGAGAACCACCCAAAATGTTCACTTGCTAAGACCCAGTAGAGGAAACGGAAACCTCAAGGTGAAACGAAACCACCACCTTAGGGGAGACCCGGGGCTTTGACGGATTCAACTCCTCCAAGAGCCTACATGCACTTGTTTGGTTGACTGCCTGGACATTGCGGAGCCCAAAAACATGTTTGAATCATGCCTCCCAAATTTAACGTTTAGTAGTCCATGCAGCAACTTATAAGGCATTAGAGCCCGGTTCAAGTTGCTCAAGCATCTTAGGAGCTAAGCCTGAAGATTGGAGAATAACATGTCATGTACACATGCGAGTGTGTCCTATTCGGAGGGTGCCCTTTTGGGGTTGGCGTGAAGGTAAATCAAACGGACCCATCCATGTTCAAAAATGAGGGCCAACCAGAAACCTCAGGGGGCGCTTTCGTCCGCTTGCACATCGACCTGCACTTTGCAATTGATTCACCGCCGGCTTCGAGGTTAGCGCCTCCAAGGACATGGATCATCCCATGAGCTCCTGGAACCGTCAAAGGCTAATCTCGTCACCTCGAGGGATTAACCTCTTTCCAACATGGAAGTGGACAAAGGGCCTTGACGAAAAACCTTGCTGTGCACTTTCACGATTGTTGGAAAGGCGTTGCAAACTCCCACCACGCCACGCGAAACTTGCCCTTTTGCCAAGGGAAACTCTAGTGGGATTCTATGTCTACGAATTTTCGTGTCAAACCCAAGATTTCCAGAGGCAGGGCAATGGAAGGCTTTTGAGCCCTTACAACCACATAATCTTCTGCCCTTGTAAAATTGGCAACCAAAACCAAAACTGAGTCTTGAACAAGTCATCCGCTTTTGGCGTCCTTTTGGAAAAAGTAAACAAATCGTGGGCTATCTAGACAGAAGCAGGCTATGTGTCAAAACAGGGGGGTCCCCCCCCATGGGCTTTCATGCTGTTCCAGCTCCTTGATCTTTCCGCTCTGGAGCAGAGGCAGGACGCCGCCCATGCCGCCGTCATTGCAGCCTTCGAGATTTGTAAAAAAAAAAAATGGCCGCAAAAGGTTCAAGTATCAGGATTCTGGTTGACCTAGTTGCAATGACTGGCGGAGAGAGGGAGCCATCTCGGGCCTTGTTGCCCACCTTATAGAAAAAAGTTTGAGCAAGGAATCCTCCAGGCAAAGGGGAAAAAATCTGAACCTTCACCTCGATGTCGCAATCCGCAAGGATGCCATTCTGGAACTCTCGCGCTGCAGGAGTCCCCTTCACATAGGCCCCCAAAGGATGTCGGGCAATCTGGGCCTATCCCGCCACCTGCTTTTTAACACAGGCCTTGGTTGGCGCAAACTGGGACTTGCTGTTGCAGCAGCAAGCAGCAGATGTTGCGCCATCGGAATATGGGAAGGGGGGCTTCCTGCCAGGTTGACCCCTAAAAATGCGTGCTTATCCAAAGGGATGCCCATGTTTAGCATGCGCCCACGTGTCCAGGCAAGTGGGACCCTCCTAAAGGACTGGTGTGCTTGTGGCAATGGATGTCTCCGAGATGACCCCGAAAAGAAAAGAACTAGCAGCAGGAACCTAACATTCCTTTCCCACCATCTTCAAGAATCCACTCCCAAAACAAAAAGGATGGATTCTGAAGGCAAGAATGTGTGAAGAGACATGGGAATGAACAATTCGAGCTCTTCGCACAACATGGAGTGACCTCCCACGCTTTTGTGGGAAAATCAGCAAGGTTCCCCATGTCCCTCCCTGATACTCTTGACCGAACCTCGTGTCTTCATTGCACCCCTGACATCCAGTCCTCCGATGAACTGCTGCTTCACGAATACCTGGGGAAAAGATGTGCCGACAAAGTCCTCAACTCGCTTCCTTGGCCAAACCAGTCTAAACTGTCTCTTTACCCCTTCAATGGTCCCGTTAAGTACAACGTCCAGAAACTCAAGCAGTGAAACAATTCGATGGCTCGTTCCGGTCTCGCTAGTTTATGGGGGGGTACCACGTCGTTTTACTGGGCAATGTCAACATGTTGGGGTATTCAGAGTATCGGTACGTATTGAGTTGTTGCCACAAAGTCGGTGGCCCAGATGTCCAAATTCTGAGAGACAAAGCTGCAAGCAGCGCTCTTGAAACACGCACTTAGCAAAGGAGTAGAACTGCATGATCACAACCTTCCCTATGAAGGCCAGGGCCTTTGAGCACTGCTCTCTTGGAACATCTGAATGCAAGAGACTCATGAGAGTCGCAACAAGCGGTGCTAGTTTTGCAGAACAGGGTCCCTTCGTGCCGTTTGAGGAGACTCACTTGAAATTGGCCCAAAAGGTGCTTTAAAAGCCGAAAAGGCAAGTATTGTAGGGGTAGGAAAGTCTCAAAGAAACATGGATTGGAGCCTTGCAAGGGATGAAGGTCAAGCAGTCAAGCCGCAAGCAGGTGTTTGGGATGAGGACTTCTCAACTGGCAGCCCATTGGAACTCCACCCGTTTCGGTGACATGCCGCCTGCTAGGGCGTCCCCAAAACAATGCATGTTGCATATGACCGCATAAACCGCCAACTCCGAAGCCCAAGGGGCCATGTTGTCAGTTGTCCAACATCATTCAAAGAATTTCGACGCCAAACAAGAACAAGAACGGCTTTACATGACTGAAGTCACCTGCTCTTGTGGAGGCCATGTCAAGTTCTCCGGTGCGTGCAGAAAACAAGAAGAACCCAAAACGGAAGACCTTCGCCGAACACCTTCCGCGCCTCCAAGCCAAACCAAAACCTGCCAACGCCCAAAGCGCCCCCCCCCGCCCCCCCCCCCCTCCGAAATCCCCCAAGTGGGCGACCTACATCATGGAAAACGAAGAGGATGGGGAAGCCGGGCGAATCCCCAACACAGCATCCCTTCCCCCACAGCACTGCTAACCAGTTCTTCTGAATAGGTTTTGCTTGCCGCACACCCCGCCCCGGCCTTCCCCCTCCCCCCGCCTTGGGCACACTGGTGGAGCCGCACTTCGCGGCCAGCGCGGCTTTGTCGAAGGACTCCACCACCGTGGGGCTGTAGCCTGCCGAAAAGTCAGCCGACGCTCACGGCGTGTGGCGTGGCGCGGTTGTTTCAAAAAACCTGCCCCCCCCCAGAGGCTCTCGAAAATCGAACAAAAGTGGAAGCGGTTCTTGGGTGGGGGGTTTTTGAACGGACACCGAAGAGGAACCGCCCATGAATGAGTGCATCGTAAAATGAGAAAATGGAGCCCCAAAATGGCAACGGTTCCTGACCAACCAAAAACAAAAGGGGGGTCCCTAAACAAGGCACCTATGTCCCCTGAAGAACGCGCAAGCTTTCTTGTGGGTATGATTTTCAAATGGAGACCCTTTGGTGAGCATCACTCAGATGGGGATTTAGGTGCTCTATTGAAATTCAGACCCAAGTTAGAGGGGGAATAACGTCTGGAAGGGCCCTTCTTTCTATTGCAACTCAACCATCTTCTGCATGCACGGTTATTGACTGCTTTTGGCACGTGCCTGCGTCCTTGAGCGCGGCAAGGGCCTTGCGGCAAAAGGGGCAGAAACTGCTGGAGAAGACCACCATATCCTCAGCGATCACAGACAAGACCAGCTGTGTTTCGAGGGTGTTGCAAGAAAAACGACTCCCCCCGCTTTTGGAACCGGGTTTCCCATTTCGGCCTGTGCTAAAAATGGCCAGTCGGCGTTGCTAAATGGAACCGGTCTCGTTTTCCCGACAAAAATCAAGCTCCGCTGCTACCCGAAACCCAGCGTGTCCAGATTTCTCAGGTTTCTTTGCGTCCACTGTCACCAGACGTTAACCTCAGATTTCCCCCACAGCCTCAACGAACCCAATCTCCCTACCCAACCAGTCGCGCTGTGCTCCAAAACCATTGACTTTGGTTCTACACACACAATTGTAATGGCTTGGAAAGGCTTTGTAACCTTGGTGAAGCCAGGTAGGAACCGAACCACCAGCCAACATTGCCAATGAGGGGTTTGGGTTTTCCCAGCCGTGCCTTTGCCATTATTTTTAACTGATTGGTTTATTATGAGGGTCTACATGTGCCAAAGGATAGTATCACCAGAGGGTGCTAGTCTCTGATCGACAAGCTGCAAGGTCAGAAGACCCAGCTACTTGGGTTGGTATGGAGAGCCACGGTCATCCCTTAGAACCACTGGCCCCATTATCAAAGTCATCCCAAAGTGGCAGGTCAAAGGCAAACCCCCAGCTTCTGACTTTGATAACCCCCCAAAACCAGTCAAGTGGGTGTGGGTCAAAAATAGCTACCCTTTTCTGGCACCCTGGGAAATGGAATCAATGACTAAAACCCGCGGTCCATATCCTGGAGCTTCAATTTTGACCACCGAAGTCATGACCCCGGAACCAGGTCGGTGGATTCTCCCTTTCGACTGGGTCGCATTGGAGTTGATGAGCTCCTCCATGTCCGCGGCCGAGGCCTTCGAAGACGTTCCCCCCATGCTGTACCTGCGGAGTAGCTACCCTTTTTGGGGGGGTAGCGAGGGAACCCAAAAAGGAAACCAACATTTTCGAAACCGCTATGTGGGAGATGGTTGTACCCTTTGGTGGTCATCTACATGAAAATTCATGTCTACTAACCCCCAGCGGGCTCGCTATGACAACTCGCCCGCTTTTTGTCTTGGAAGCAATATTGGGAGTTCGCTAAATGGTGAGCATTCTAGAGATAACTTCATTCCAGGAATTCTTTCCAGGAAACAGCAGACCAAATGAAACCACTGGACGTCGAAAACAACGATGATTGATAAAACAATGGACGCCTGCGTATATACAAATGTATATAATATACACCAAATCAGAAAAGATTGTTGAACATGCCGGAAGTTGACATCTTGGCTACATGTTCAAAAAAGCTAGATGGTTTTAAAGTATCAACAACCCCGGTCTAGCTAGGCCTCTATAGTCTATAGTTGATTCTTCCAAGATGAAGGTGGTCCAAAAAGCACTACGCAGCTGATGCAAAAAGACAAACTATCTCAGAGAAGGCACAAAAGGCCTTTGAGCGTCGTCGCCGTTTGAAGCCGAAAGCTGCAGTCGACAGACGTGCATCAGCAAGGCTTTGTGCCTGGGTGGCCTCTTCTAACCAATAGTCAAGAAAAACGCATGTGGAGGCTTCACAAAATAGGGGAACCCCAAATATGGGTGGGGGAGGCTCCCCATGTGGTCAATTCTGCTGGGCTCGTACTTATCCAGAGCACATCATGGAACATGGATCTCTTTGTTTGCGATTCCCTCGACCTCTTTTGTTGTGGGTAAAATGATGGGCAGTGAATCATTGAACTCAACCACTCAATTGAACTTGGGGGGATCCCTTGGAGAAATCAAGAGTCCTCGTAGAAGTGAACCGTAGGAGCCTGCTTTCAAGGGATCCCTTCATTTTCCCAACAAGAATGTCAACAGCCAAACCATGTTTCGCACATGAGTTTCAGATCTGCCTAGCCCCTGGCAGGAAAGCAACAACTTGGTCGTATGCCACTGCACCATCGCCTGGATGGATTTGGTGGGAAAATGTAGTGAGTCCCCCCATGTCCCTCTTAAATGCACCACGGGCTACCAAATATGTTGACTGAACTGAAGCGCACAGTATGCAGTGAGCAGCAGCGCGAGATACGTTAAAAATGTGGCGTGCATGGGAGGGGTTCGGTTCGAAAGTCCTATCTCCTGATTGAAATCTGACGAGCGTACCCAATTTGATTCTTTGTGCTACAGCACATCACGGTAAAAGTTTGCTCACTATTCACATCAGCCTGACGGCAGCCTCCCTCAGAGAAATTCCAATTTCGGTCAGCAGGGCTACGTAGCCCTGGTACTCACGGGTTTACACCCTTTCCGTAACCATTCTACAATGTGAGGCCCATCTTGTCATAGGTGGGGCCACGTCCCTGATGAGCAATAGACACATGAAAGTATTTTGACGGAACCTCATATGGCGACCAAACCAACTCGAGGGGAAAAGGTCCTAAACTCGGGTTGGTCTCAAAGTCGAAGATCCAAAATGTGTGTTTTCCGTTTGGCTCACCCTGAAAACATCCATTTGCATGTGGGTTTGAAAAAAAGAGGACGCCCCCCAAAAAATAAAAATAAATGTTTGTGTCCGTTGTGTTTCGCCTTGAAACCCAACCAAAAGGCATTTCTCCCCCCCCCCCACCACCCCCCCGCCAAACAAAAAACACAAACTATCCACTGCTCCGAATCGAATTTGGACCTCGGCCATCGCCCTGTCCCTCTTTTCCGGGTTTCAGGCCGACTGTACAGGCAAAATCCTTGAACCCATCGCACCTGCTCTGTTGGCTCCGTTCGGCTGGTCAGTAAGGAGAACACCTCAACGTTGTAACGTGCAACCAAAAGAAGCTCCGAGCCAACTGTTCCATACAGCGCCGCCATAGGCTTTATCTCCAGACTCTGCCATCCGCAGAAGACCGGGTCTAAAGTTCTTCTAAGGCTCAACTTGGCGTCGAGCGAAAAGAAGACTTAGTCCACCTTCTGGCGCCTGTCGAAAGAAATGGAAGCCAAATGCCTAGGAGTGAACGGTGCAGACTGCTCAACACAGATAAGAAGGGCCGAAAGCTGGACGGGTGCTGTAAGGAAGCAAAACCTCCAAAAACGAGACTCCAAAAACCTCCTATCCACAAAGGGGATGGGAAAAAGTGTGTAAGTCCAAAAAACTCCAAAACTCCGCTCCCCATGCCCTTCTCTCACCCCAGAAACCGCGGCCCGCCTGTCCACCGCCAGCTTTCCGTCTACTTTCCCATGAGCTCCTATCCACACAACTTTTCTGACTAAACCAAAATGGGTTGGAAACTGCAGCAGGTGGCAAGACATCTGCAGCTCTTGGTTGGGGTTGTGGCCACAACTGTCCTTGATCTTCCCGTTCTTCAGAAGAGGAAGCGCGCCGCCCATGCCGCCATCATTGCAGCCTGAACATTCCAGTGAGCTCTGGAAAGGAGGAAAGCTGGCTCCCAAAAAACCATACAGCCCAAACAGAAAGTGGTTCAACAGGTATCCCCTTAAAAGGAGTTTATGGCTTCTAGGTCTGATTCTATTTGAGAACCTCAAAAGCAACGCTCGTTCCCCTAAAAAGACCCAGGTTCGGAGCCTGGCAAAAAATAAGGTCCTTATGGGCGCGTCTCATAATAATCGTTCCCAAATGGTCGGAGTCCTTCCAGTTTCCCTCTTGCGCGTCTCTGAACAGTGTCCCGGAAAGATAAGGGTAAGCCAAAGAGCCACAGCTAGCTGACGTCTGGTTCTACCAACCTGGGTATGAAGGCGAAGCCTCAGCAGTACATAGAATTAGAGCCAAAGCGAAACCAGTGAAATCCATTTCTTGGCTGACCTCACACCATACATTTGAGAAAACGCCCTAAAAAGACCCCGCTCGGAAAATTCAACGGTGGCGCCGCCCGGCCTCACTAAACACCAGCAAGAATAACACCAGTCCGTTGGCCCGGGGGGAAAAGAGCACGCCGCAGAGGCTCAAGTACAAGATACGAACCGTCAGAGCCTCAGCTGTGGTCCGAGTTTCCCAGCAAATGCTAAAGAGATTGATTGGATGTGTCTCAAAAGCGCAAAGTTGTAGGTGTCCTTTTGGTGTCCCATTGAATATGAACAAAGACGGGGTCCAAAAAAAAAAAACTCCCAATTGGGTACAGGTTCTAGGGCGTGAAACATGAAACCAGGTTGACTACCTCAGCTCTTGCCACAAAAACACAACTTGGGAGTGTCAAAATAGGAACCCCAAAAGTTGCTTGTCCTGTCGGTGTCCCTTCAAACCGACATGAACAGGGTACCCTCCAAACAACACACACACACACACAGACTTTGCGTCTGGATCAGACTTAGATTGTCTAATATCTGATTTAAAAAGAGGTCCCAGTTGCGGAGTTTGCAAAATGGTGAACCCCTTTCTGGGTATTTAGAAATATAAACCAAGAGCAAACCAGCCATTTTGGGGCACCATCTTGAGAAACCCCACCCAAAGAAAAAGAAGGCTTGTCGCGGCACCGCTGCGCCCTTTGGAGGGCGCCAAACGCGGCAAAAAGAAAGACCGCGGGACTACTTCAGCAGTGATACAGCATGATTGCCCTCGGAAAGCCTTGTTCATATGTGTTTCTGCTGTTGTTTTCAACAAAACAAAGATAACATTAAAAACCAATGAAAAACAAACACAAAAAGGAGAAGCGCTGGGAACGGCGCAATCAGTTCAACCATCTTCGGCGACCGCGACCCGGTCTTCGATCCACCAAGCCTCCGATGAAGTTTTGTTTCACGAAGACCTGAGCCCGTGGCTGTTTTGCTAGACCTGTGCTGTTTTTGGGATGCAAGGGAAACAACATGACCCCCCCCCAAAAAAAAAAAAAAACTATTTTGACACAGACCCATAGCATCATCGCTTTGATTTTGGCCATAGTTGTCGTAAAGGGCTGGTTTCACTAGGGTTCCATAGCACTTGTTGCTCATATACCCGTCATAAATGAGTCTACCTAAACCCATACTGAAGAATCAGAAGAGAGGATGCATGCGCCAGTTTCTGGTTGGGGACTGCTTGTATCCTTCATCTACCCAGGTCTTGATGGAGGCTCATTTTTGGGCTCGTCCGATTACATGATGTGTGTCACAAAGGTACGGGTCCCCAAATATGTTTCGGTGTCCCTTTTCTTCCCAGTGAAAGAAAACCGCAACCCGAAAAAGCCCCTCCGAAAAACACATGGAAAGGCAATTGGTGGTCAAAAAGACCAACCCATTGGGGTCTTCTTTTGCTTTCGCTTAGCTTCTCTTTCAAGACCATCTGCCAAAGGGTCCTTTCGTTTTGAATTATATTCTCTTTGGCACTCCCAAACCCAACTCATCTCTCTCCATCCACTGGTGCAGGTCTGGGAGGAAACCGAGGGTTTCCTGCGGTGGGTTGGCGCCCTAGCACCCTAAACCAGACCCAAAAGGATGTTTTGCCGTGGGAATCTGCAGCCTTCCGAGAAAAGCTTGGAGGTCCGACCAAAGAAGAGCTTAGAGAAAATGGAATGCTTTTCTGAAGCTAACCGTTTTAAGGTTGGTTTAAAGGGAAGCCAAAGGAAAAGCAACCATTTTGATTTTGGGGCACACGAAGCAAGAATGAGCGAAGTAAGGAGCCGACAGTGTCCTTTCCCACGCGTTCCTTCTATGATTGTTACAGCTACTTTATCATCTCGCTTAACTGCAACGACATCCAAAACCCATTAATGATTGGCTTCTATGAAATGATTCTGATGGGTAACAGCGCCCAGGTCCCAACATATCCCAAAAAGCCGCCCGCTGGAAAGCACATACCAGACGCAACCCCAAATAACGCCATCTCACACCCACTAACGGAGAACCTGGGAAAAACATACGAGATGTCTCATAGACACCCATATAATCCAAAAAACAACTAGGCACTTGAAGCAGAAAAACAAACGAACCGCAAATGGAAGTCTCTCACCCAGCCCCCTCCCCTGCACCCACCCCCAGCCCAACCCACCCGAACGCACCAGCCCCAGCCTTGGGCACGCTTGTGGAGCCCCCGCACTTGGCGGCCAGTGCGGACCGGTCGAAGGACTCCACCACCGTGGGGCTGTAGCCTGCCGAATCCCAGTGAAGGGCACCGGCAACCCAAAGCTAGGGCTGTTTTGAAGGGCAAACTAAAAGAAGTCGGTCCTCTACATCAGCTGGCAGAGCTGATGGTCTAGGTGGCCCAAATACGAAACCATCCATCTTGGGGCGGATGCCCCAGCATGCCCCAGCAAGACCGACCCCTGCCTTTCCAGGGGCGAGTTCAAATCTCTGCGTTTGTGTAAGGCCAAGTATCCTTAAACTCGATTGTTCAAAAGGAGGGGATCTCTAAATCCGTAGTGGTATACCGCCAATTTGAAGTCGGGAGGGTCCATATCCCATTTGCGGACGCGGCTTAAACCAGTTGAAACAGTGGCTGTTTAAGCAAATGTTGCATTTGGGGGGAACCTGAAAGGGACCCCCAAGAAAGGCCCAAGGAACTTAAAGTCCACACTACCGGTATCTGTCTCGGGGGAAACCGCCTGGGATTCGAAGTTCAGACCAAAATCCAAAGAGCTCGGTCTCTACATGGGGGCCAAAGGCACACTAAGGATTTTGTCTGAATACCTGTACTATACGTCGAAAACCTGAAATACGAATTGATCCCAAGTAAAGGACCTACAAGTGTTTTGAGGGCACTCTTTTCTAAGGTGCTTTTTTGAAGGAACCCAGAAGGAAGACCGAAAACCATGGTTGGGGTCCAAATCCTCATTTTTCAGGCTTATTTGCAATGGGGTGACCTTCACACTCACATGTCGTGCTCACACACGTGCTCACCCACTATATTTGGGTTCGCGCTGTTGTGGCCGTGTCAGGTTTGTTTTAAACGGAAACCCAAAGAAAAGCACAAGTTTGGGGGGTCCCCACATAGACAAATCCACATCATTTGCCCAGGTCAACCTGACTGGGCGGCCTTTCGACGCCCGTTGAAGGTGAAAGAATTCCAATCCAAGGGTTTAAAAAGCTTACACTTTGAGTTCCAGTCAGCACTACAGGAAGACAACAAATACAAAGTTGAAGAATTGAAAGCTTGGTTTTTGGATGAGTCAGTAGATTTCTTAGAATGTTGGTTCAAAGGCACCTTAAAGCCAGAAAAAGTCATGATTCTCTGAGTCTATTTGCAGCAGTGATTTAGCCCCCCATGTTGCTTTAGACAGACCCCCCCGTCAGTGCTTGGAAACCGCTTTTGTCCTCGGGGAAACCTTGACTTTCCAACACAAACAAAGCTCAAAGACCCACCAGGTCCGCCTTTCCCTGGCCACCCCCACCCACAAGCACTACCCCGGGCAAATCCGGGAAAACCACTCGCCCCAAACTCGGCATCGACCCGCCTGCGTCCCTGAGCGCATCTAAGGCTTTTATGCAGAAGGGGCAAGAGCTGCTGGAGAAGACCACCATGTCCTCGAGCCGTGCGCTGGCGAAGGCTACCCTTTTGGGTTAGGGAAACCAACGGGAAGGCCGAAATCCATCGGGGTCGCCAATAGACAACTGACACGTCGCCATAAACCCCTGATGGACAACTCCACGCCAGGCCCAGTTTGGAGGAAGCCTGATTTGGGCACTGGGATAAAGCACCCACTGGCGCGAAATATGTGTTGTTTATCCCTGTAGTTCAGGGCTTCATGAACTACTCGCGATGATACAATTGAAGCCAGCCATGCCAGCCACCAAAGGGCCAACAACCAATCTGCTATTCCTAAACTGAAAACAAAGGACCCTCATGACGTCTGGGCTCGTTTTAATCTCAGGTGAGCAGTTGTGACTTGTCCAGGATATTGGGGCGTCAAGTTCGTCTGGAGCGCACGAAATGCAGCGCTGCCTTGGAGCCTGGAGCGAAGGGCGCCCAAGGGCTAAGCGCTTAGCGGCACAGGGCGGGGACACTTCTTTTAGGAGCGTGAAAACGGCGGGCCGTGATGTATATTCACGGGGCCCCGACGGAGGACCTGTTTTTGCAAGGTGCCCAAAGAGACCAAATGGAAACCAACCATGTTTGGGGAGCGACCAATTTTGGGAAACGAATAAACATTCAATTGTGTGCTTCAACGGCAACGAAAAGCAAAATGTCGCCTAGTAGTACTTCAGGGCAATCTCCTAATCCTTTAGGTTGATGAGAACCCCTCAACGCACAAAACAAGAGGGTCTTTTGACCATGCAAGCGTCATTAGAGTTGATCAGCTCGTCGACGCCAGACATGGCGAGGAAATCTGTAGGCGCAGAAGTTGTCCTAGAGCCTTAATGCTGTCGTAGGCGGATAAAATCGCGGACTGCTCTTTAAGCCAGTTCCACAAAAAGCGGCCTCTCACTTTCCCGAGCTAAACCATTTCAAAAGGACCACCATGGGAAAACGGAAAGATGGGGTGTGGGCAAGTCGGACTGGAACATCTGAATGTGAATATCTCTTTTGTCAGGGGGGGCCCACCACCAAGGGAGGGCGCGAGGATGGCTAATGAGAGCCTTTGCTATGGTTGTTGACCATCCCACGGGGCCTTATGACCATCCCTGCTGAGGTTGTCAGAGGGGCCTTTTGACCATGAGCACATGTGTGTGTGTGTGTGTATGGGCAGACGGCGCCAGGCACCTATCAGCCTCTCCCACATATCCCAAACTCAAAATAAAATAAAAACGATTACAGGGAAACCCACCCATTTTGCGGGTCCCCGCCATGTCGAAAGACATCGTTTCAGCCTATGATGCATACCCGGACGCATTTCTGGTCAACCTCGTTCGGCACTCAGCGCACTTTTTCACCGCCAAGCGCGGGAATGGCAAGACACGTGAAACGCGCCCGGGCGCGGCGAAGGCGGCGAGGCGGAGCGCGCTCCGGTGGCGCGGAACTCCGCAACCTGTGGACGCAGCTGGCATGTGAGTTGGTGCCCTCTGTTAGGTTGATTTCAAGGGAAACCAACCGGAAAATCCATGTTTGTCTTGCTGGAAAAAGGGGCCCATTTTTGACACATTCCCGTATCTGGGGCAAATCACGATAATTCACAAACCGGACCTTCATGGGTGAGCAACCAAACTGGGGTACCCTCCCAGCCATAGATGAACTGTGGGTAATATAGATGGCCCTGGTAACCCACCTAAACCTCAAACTAACCCAAAAAGTAATGCTCCCAGCAAGGAACGTTCAACGCCTGAACGCACCAGAGGTCCCGCTTAGAGCGTGGTTGTCTCCTCGGAACCGCACTCCGAATCTGGGAAATGTCAATGGGCCTTTGAGGTACCATTTCGTGCGTTCTTTAAAAGAACCAAAAGAAGACTACGGCCCGCTGTTTGAGGGACCCCTAAATGAGTCACAATTAAACCTTGAAGGGGCTGACCCAGAACCATGGGAAAGAATTCAAAAGCCCTGCCCCCCCACTAACCTTCATTTTCCCAGGTTTTGATTGTGGCTCAAGTGAGCCCTTGTCCATGGACCGGTAATTCTCCAGCGGTACATACCCCGTGAGAGAAAAAACGAAAGAGGTACTGCCTCCTTTCCCACATATCGAAAATGACCCCACGAAGCAAAGTTCTGGGGTACATGGCTGTGTCCTCTACAGAGAAGGCTGGGTATCGCAACCAACCCTTGGTTCAACTTTATTTTCAGAAAGCCCTTACCTTAAGCACCCGCTGCTTTTGGTGTGCTTCCCACGCCTGGCCGCAGATTCTCAGCTGCACGTGGGCCGGTCCCTGAGCAAGTGAAAGTCGGATGCATCGCCATGAGAGGCACAAAAACACACAGGCGGACAAGAAACCAAACGGGCGGCACAAGAAACAACTGCCGGCACCTCGTTCACCTGCACTCTTGCTAGGCACCTCTTCCACCAGCTCAGTGGGAACCCCAACACACACCTCTTGCGGGGGCAGTTCCCAACCTTGGCTTCGGCGGGTATCTTCCATGGGCTTAGCAACGGAACCCTGTTGTTGTCTGGGAACCCTTTTTGGGGTTGGTTTACAGGCAAACCAAAGGGAAACAACCCATTCTGGGGGTCCTCCTAGTTTGACACAAACCCACAAGGAAATCACTCGATTTCCCAAGCCGGATATCAGAAATCCCCAAGGAGCCTTCAACGTGGGATTTCCATCCCCATGACTACTTCATCATTTCAAAAGGGGTTCCACTCACAGAAAGTGGCAACCCAATTTGGGTATGCGTGAAAATCCGGAGTGCCAAAATCATTGGCTCCCTTTTGGCTTTCATTTCAACCAACCAAAAGGTACAAAGGTGCCCTCAATTGGTCTCCCTTTTGGCCTCCACCCATCATGAAACCGTCTGAGCCAGGCGTCGGCTCCCTCAGATGGTGGCAGGAGAAGGGCGCGCCGAACTCACCCCACATCTCGACGACCTGACGGGCAGACTCCGGAACAACCCCCGAAAGGGGATACACACCCACAACAAGCAAGCAAGCAAGCAAGCAAGCAAGCAAGCAAGCAAGCAAGCAAGCAAGCAAGCAAGCAAGCAAGCAAGCAAGCAAGCAAGCAAGCAAGCAAGCAAGCAAGCAAGCAAGCAAGCAAGCAAGCAAGCAAGCAAGCAAGCAAGCAAGCAAGCAAGCAAGCAAGCAAGCAAGCAAGCAAGCAAGCAAGCAAGCAAGCATCAAAGCAAAAACTAAACTAAACAAATGAAACAAATGAAATGAAGACAAAACAAGAGCCACAAATCAAAGGAAGGTATCAAAAGAACCCCAGCTATTACACAACCAGGGGTTATCAATCCTTCCTATCGGGGCGTTTGTGGGCGCCAGTGAAGGGGCCCCTTTTTAAAAGGATCGGCTTGCCTTCCCAGGTCCCCTTGACCCCATTGGTGGCCAACCCTTTGGTTTGTTGATCCCATTTCGGTGGACATGAATCCTCGAATTCTGATGTCCTCAGGCTCCATGGAATGCTTGATGTTTTGAGCCAGCCCATCATTCATCCAGGGTCGATCTCACATTTCTTGACCCAGGCCGCTTGCAATTTTCAAGGGACCCCCATGAATGCTGGCTCCATGGCAACGTGGATCCGCGCCTGCTTGATTTCCTCCGCCACTCCGAAGACCATGGTGGCGAGGATGAACGTCGCCTACAACTCCCGAATCAGAAGGCATGTACTACAAAGGCCAAAAGAGTTAGAACGGGGCTGTGGGGTGCCATAAAACCAAATAGAGCAATTATTGTCATGATCACGAACAATGGAGGGAATGGGTTTGTCTAAAAAATGGGGGAACACACAAATGGCTGGCTTCCTTCGCGTCACTCTTTAAACCCAACCAAAAGCGGGGTCCCTCAAAAAAGACGAGCCGCCCAAATAGCCTGCTCAAAACCAAGTGAGTTTCACCTGGAGCTCGGCCCGAAAAACGAACTGAGCCACGGACCTGTCCACAGACTCCAGGTCATATCAAGCAATGATGAGGCTCAAAATGGGTTGCCATTTTAGGGAACTGCGACTGCATGTTGCAAAACAACCCTTTTCAGGTCACAAAAGTGGCCCCTCGTGTTGAGAAAAAAGTTCCTTGCGCGGTTGACAATAAAGAGCCTTCACTGAAGAAGTTACCGCGCAAAAAGTATCCGGGGTCCAACTTTATGTTCAACGAATAAGTGAATCGGCAACTTTGCGCGTTTGTCCCTTCTATCTTCTCCTCCAAGCCTTTGATCGTACCGGCAAAGGTCAAAACTGATCAGTGGAAACCTTTCCGCACGACAGTGGCGCTTGCTCACCGTCTCCCTTGTGTGACATTGCACTGGTAGTTTGAAAACCAACCCTAACTCTGAGCAACGCTTGGACGCCGAATCCTAATTTCACGTGCTCCCTTCTGGCTTTTCGCGCCTCAGATTGGCGCCATCCATGTTACAACAGTCCCAATTGAGAGCAAATGCAGCAAGAGGCCGCCGCAGCTTCCTCCTCCCTCCTGAAGCACACTCTCTGATTTCAACCCAGGTCACAACAGCCACGGACTCAAGAGTGGCAGCAAAAGCACCACAGGCAGCTTGTTGGATGCGCTAGAAGTTCCTCAGTTGCTCGTGCACCTGCTGTCTCCGCCGTATTCTGCATCACCCCAGGTCACAACAACCCCAGATTCAAGAATGGCAGCAAAAGCACCATTGGAAGTTGCTTGGATGTGCTGGACGCTCCTCAGCTGCTCTTGCACCTGGCTGCTGTCTCCGCCACACCCTGGATACCCCCAGGTCAAAATGGCCCCAGATTCAAGAATGGCAGCAAAAGCACCATCGGCAGTTGCTTGGATGTGCTGGACGATTCGCAGCTGGTCTTGCACCTCGCTGCTGTCTCCGCCGTATTCCGCATCACCCCAGGTCACACCAACCCCAGAGTCAAAAAAGCACCATCGGCAGTTGCTTGGATGTGCTGGACGCTCCTCAGCTGCTCTTGCAGCTGGCTGCTGTCTCCGCCGCACTCTGGATACCCCCAGGTCACACCGGCCCCAGATTCAAGAATGGCAGCAAAAGCACTGTCAGTTGCTTGGATGCGCTGGACGTTCCTCAGCTGGTCTTGCACCTCGCTGCTGTCTCCGCCAGAATCTGGACCACCCCAGGTCGCCGCTCCAGTTTCAAGAATGGCAGCAAAAGCACCATCGGCAGTTGCTTGGATGTGCTGGACGATTCGCAGCTGGTCTTGCACCTCGCTGCTGTCTCCGCCGTATTCCGCATCACCCCAGGTCACACCGACCCCAGAGTCAAAAAAGCACCATCGGCAGTTGCTTGGATGTGCTGGACGCTCCTCAGCTGCTCTTGCACCTGGCTGCTGTCTCCGCCACACCCTGGATACCCCCAGGTCAAAATGGCCCCAGATTCAAGAATGGCAGCAAAAGCACTGTCAGTTGCTTGGATGTGCTGAACATTCCGCAGCTGTCTCCGCCCCAGTCTGCACAACCTCACTTGTGTGGCCATGCCAAGCGAACGCTTTCTTTGCGGCAGTCAGCATGCCCAGCTGTACAATGGCAGCCACCGTGTCCCCATCTCGCAACCCGGCCTCGCTCAGTGTGGCCATCAAATCGAGCCGCCGCCCTTCCGCGGCAAGCTGCAAGCGGCGCTGGAAATGCTGTTGCGCCGCAGCCTTCAGCTCGCTGATGAGCGCCGCCGGTGAGACTTCTACAGAGTAAGCATCTCCACTGGGCAAATGAACATTCACCTTCATGGCACAGGAAGGCTACATTCAAGTTGCAAAACAGGAGCCTAAGACAAGAAAACAGCAAAAGTACTGTGGGGAATTGATTTGCGAATAACTTTTGAGGAGATTCCAATTAGTTGCAACTATTTGCAAGGGTTCGAATTCTTGGACACCTGAATGCAAGAAGAGATCGTTCAGGGGTCTTGAACCGACCACTGTGTGAGGACCTTCCCGGCACTTTTGTGACTGCATTCTTCAGCTGGAGCCCGAAATCGACGTCAGCGATTCGTTGGCAAAGACCAGCGGACCTGCAACCTGGCAAAGGAGAAAACCAAAAGCCCAGGCTAAAAAAGCGGCATGGGACAGAAGAACCGTCCAAATTCCCCCCAGTCCACGGCTTGCAATGGCTCCAAGTGAGTGCCCCAAACCCGAAGTCTGGGAATGGGAAGAGGACGGGAAGAGGACGTGAGGCCAGGAAAAGGACGGGAAGAGGAAGGCGGAAGAGGACTTGAGGCCAGGAAGACACGGAAGAGGCCGCGAAGAGGCTTGGAGGACGGGAAGGGGAAGAGGACGGGAAAGAAGAGGCCACGAAGAGGCTCGGAGGACGGGATCTAAGAATTTGAGGGTTCCCGAGAAATTGAGGGTTCCTAAAAAAATGGAGGGTTCCTAAAGAATTTGAGGGTTCCTAAAACATTTGAGGGCTCCTAAGAATTTGGAGGGTTCCTAACAATGTGATGGTGTTTGTTAATTTTAGGGTTTTTGAGAATTTCGGAGTGTTGAGAATTTGCGAATTGACTCATGAAAACCAGGATAATTTGGAGGGATTTGGACAACTTTGTTGTATAATTTGCCGTGGCTAGTTTAATAGAACCATGGTCGTGAAGGTTTATATTGCGTGGCCCCCACATGAAACTAGGAAGTCGCAACACCAACATGGTCCAATAGGACCGCAGCTGACAACCTCTGAGAAGGGGTCCCTCAAAAGAAGGCTCCTCCAAACTCACAAACCAGAAGTAATCAATCCCGGAGTAAGGGATCTTCATCTAGGATGAGCTTGTTTCATGCTGACGTAACTTGCCCAGTATTTATGGCTTGGGGCTTAGCTCAGTGCTTAGCACCCCTCCCCGTGCAATTTCCAACTCTCACCTGTGTGTGGGAGGTTCTCCCCTTTTAGGGTGGTTTTTTTTTCTGGCTTCCTTCTAAAACTATCCCCAAAACGGGTTCCCTCCCCCGGCCCAACCCCTGTGGCACCGTCAGGCACAGCAAGAGCTTCTCCCAGGCCGGCAGCGAGCGAAAGGCCTGCTGCATGAGCCTCGCGGCTATGGGAGTGGCGGAGTGGGAAGTTCCCGGTACTCGCCGACCTCAAAAAACGGCTGTCCCACTTACCATCAGAATCATAACCTACTAGCTTCAACATCCAATCGCAGGAATCCGCCAGGAGGTTGTTTAAGGATACCCTGTTCACCTTGGCTTAAAGGCATCCTTGAGGGTCCCCTAGTTTGACGCATAACGTTTTACAGAATGTTGTTCCGAAGACATCCGCACAAGCGAAGACACGTTCTAGCGAATGGAAACCAAAGGAAACCAAAACACACGCTTCTACCCTGGGGTTTCTTGGCATGTCAGCACTCAAGTGCTGACTTTGTGGGGCCAGCCACCAAACAACTAAAAACTAGAACAACTTGCCAAGAGCAGTGATGCGTTAGTCATCTTTTAGCCTCGGAGAAGAAGCCCTGCCAGAAACCCAGAGGGACGCGGGGGGTGATAAATGGTCCCTGAAAGTTTGTTCTTCCAAGGGAACCCCGACAATAATACCTCATTTTTCGTGATCCAGGCTTCGACCAAACCACGGCAAAGTGAAGCTGACCCCGGAGCTAAGGGAAGCTGGGAAGGGAAACTGGGTGGGCAAGACAGAAAGGCCCACTTTGATTGGCAACGTTTCGTTTCATCCCTTTATCCCTAAAGCCTTACCAGCCTATGATTGGGAGGGAGGGGTCGTGAACAAACCCAAGAACATGAAATCCTATAATAAAAGCATTAAATAGTAAACAAATAAATATTAAAAACTGTAAAATAAGCAAATAAAAATAATAAAAGAACATGAAAATAAAGTAAAATAAATATTAAATGAAAATAAAAAGATAAAAAAGATAAGGGATAAAGAGAATGGAGATAGGAGTGAGATGACAGGGAGAGAAGGATGCATCAGGATCTCTTCACACTGTAACATCTCCATCCTCAGCCTTTCCATAAAGACACTTTTCTAGTTCTCTTTACTTCTTCTTTAGAATTCTTTTTTTGGAAATCATTACATTTAGAAGTTACATCAGATTCATTTTGTTTTCTTATTAATGTTTCTATCTTATTAATCTTTGCAAATATTATAATTCAATTTATCTTTACAGGATTTAAGATCTAGTGTTGGACTGGAATTCACTTCTCATAGAATTATTTTCTTATATTATTTCATCTTAATTTATTATTTCTTCTTTTTTTTTCTAACGAAGGGGCTCCCAAGACATTGGTTTCCTCTTGGCTTCGAAAGAAAGAGCTCCCGTCATGTTGAAGCTTTGTCCGAAATGTCTGCACCATCTCCCAACTGGCTGGACCTTAGTTAAACCCATGCTGCAACCACGGCTTTAAGGAGTCGCCTTCCTCCTGTCCAGATTTGTCAGAGATCTGCTGGTCTCCCCACGTTCGCATAGCCGAGACCATAGGCTTTCTTTCAGCTCTTCTGGTATGATAACAGCACTCAGCGTCTCCATTACCCGCCCGTAAGCCAGTCTTGCGCGCTTAACCGGGATAGCCTCAGACCTCAGACAGCATTTCGCCAGAAGAACCGATGCTGGTCTTCCAACGCATATTGTGACACTTGAGATCATAGTTCCTAGCCACGTTCAACAAATTTACACATATCACCATTCTGCTCTGGGTCGGCCTCGAGCACGTCAGACAAATGGCGCGTGGCTGCGCAAATGGCTCTGTGCAACTGACCCTGTGATTCTATGCAAATTGCACTGGGCAAGCTGATGTGCACAAATGGCTTTGTGCAACTTGGTTTGTGTAAGTGACTCTGTGCAAGTTAGTCCAAGCGCTCTGCACAGAAGAATTGTTCGCGATGCTTTAGGGGGAGAAAAAATAAAAATAAAAACATCAACTGGAGGGTCTATTAATACAAAGTTAACGTTAGTCCCAGCCTCTCCCGATTTTATGCCCGTCTCGATCAGCCTTGACTCCCAATATCAAGGGCACCCAGAGACACTAGGCAACCTCGTTGTGCACATAAGGCATGGCCAAAATTACGATCGGTTCCCTGAGAGATGGAAAAACTGGGTTCCGTCCGGCTTTCATGGGAAGGTTTGTGAGTCCCCCATGTCCCTCCCAAATGGACCATGGACTTCTGGCAATTTTGAGCGAACCTCATATGATCTTGGGGCGTAGGATTTCTGCGAGCCTTTGAATGAAATTCGATTGATACGACAACGGATACCGAGAAGTGCAACTGATATAAGGAGTCTATCCAATACACACGCACACACCTAATTTAATGACCATGACTTCATGGGGCGGTCAAGTCCTCCACAACGGGAAACAAAAGGAAACTCCTTTGAATGGATTCTCCGTGGAGACCAAAAGGGAGCCAGACGTGTGCGAAGCATTTCAGTTTCGGACACACCGACACACTCATACGGATCCATCTTAAACTAGGGTAATCGTTTGGCTGTCCTTTAAACAACTGCAAACAAGGGTTCCCAAAAGACACACTCATATGTCTCACGATCGAGAAAACTCCGTGCGTCCTTTCCTACCTAGGAAAGGGTGCAATGGTTGTCAGAATTCCCAGAGGGCCCATGTTCAGTGAACCTTAAAATGCACAAAGTAGTGGTCCCCCAAAAAGGTTGGTTTCAAAGTGGCTTCCTTGTGGATCCCTTGAAATACCAACCAAGAGGGGGTCCACCATTTCAGAAACACCCAAATCAACGATGCTTCAGAGGGTACGAGAAAAAAAAAGAAGAAAAAAAAGCAACAAGGCGAGTTTAGCTGGGTGGGTCTCGATTCAATACGGGCCACCCCTGTTTCAAGGATTGAAAGGAAAGTAGAAAGGAAACAATTTACTTGGAGGGCACGAGGTAAGCAAACCAAAAGGAAATGGAGGGCGCGAGGTGAAGAAACGAATGGGTTTTCTGAGGCTACCCTCTTCAGCTTTGGTTCAAAGGGCAAAATCGAAATCCATTGGGCCAAATCCCTATTCCGACCCAGACCCCAAGGGAAACCACCGATGGCGCGAGCCTCACAGAGCTACCCTGGGCCGTCCCCGAGGAGAGGGAAAGCGAGGACTCGCGCTCGCCGTCCGTCTCCTCTTGGCCTAGGGATTTGATGGGAATCCAAAAGCCACCTACTTTATGCTCGAAATCTGGTTAAGATGATGCTGCGGGAAATGACCCATGTTGGCGGCGGAAATGACCAATCTTGACCATACCGTGGTGCATTGGTGTTTGCCTAGCTGCTTACAGTGACGCATGGTTTGGGGTGCTACGGGGTCGAGTCAACTCCTAGTCCGCAAGGTTGCTTTGATAGGCCGGCAGTGAATGAGGGGAATGAGATGGGTGTATTTTTGGAGGGGTACTCTATGGGGTACTCTATTTTTCGGGGTAGTTTGAAGGGAATCCAAAAGGAAACCCTATTTTGGGGTCTCCTATTGTGACAAATATCCAAACGTATCTTTAGGGGGATCCTCCCCAAAACCCTGCTGGTTCCTCACTGAGAATCAACACCTTCAAGAAGAAAATTGTCCTCCCAGGAACTCCAGGCAGGTTCTATGGTTTGTTTCGGAAGAGTAAATTGGTTCACAGCCACGCTAATATTCCGGAAGCGTCCTCCTTTGACATGGGATTTGGGCGTGTAACTCTAATTGTGTAGTGGTCATTTGGCGGGCGTGACCTTTGCTACAATAAATGACGGTAAGGAAGGACTGTTGCCTACACTTGATTCATGTCCTCCTACCATTCTTGAGGGAATTCTATTTTTAGCAAGTGTCATAAGCAATAAAGGTCAATGAGTTGTTGGGTACATTATGATACTTCCGCCGGACTAAAGGTCATCTCGCTAGTGGCCTCGGGTGGGGGACAAATTGATCCGAACCTACGACCAGCTTGCCTCAGAAACTCTAAATCCAGCTGAAGTCCGCCCTTGACTTTCGCAGCAAGATCGCCAGCTCGCGTGATTCAGCAACTCTGCGGCCCTTACCAAATAGACCATATCTTATCATCTTGCCACATTGCACACATGCTATTCAAACAGAAAGGTACACCAGAGTGAGAGTAGGCGCAATTGTCTTCCCGCTGGGAATTCTCGGCGACATGGGGCCTGCCTCATTGTGTTCATGTCTGAAAGCGACGGTATGACCCTGACTGATTCATACACCCTCCGTTGGGCCCCAGATTTGTTAGCTTCGCTTCCAGGGCACTGTTCCCAGGTCTTGGGCCCCCCTGGCCATGGAAAACAAGGGCCCTCTCTGTTTGTTGTTGACTCTAAAAGCAAACCCCTCAAAAGGAAAGAAGAAGGGGCACCGCGGCACAACTAAAGGTCTGGGGCAATATCAATGAGGGTCAACAGAACGGTACTGACCTGTTTGCCCCTTTCGAAGAGGGGGCTCTGTGGGACAGCGCCATACGTTGATTCAAACACAATGCCGCGTTTTTCTTCACCACCAGTTATGACTATGGACCCCCCCTCCCGCGCACACCGAGAATAGCATACCAAGTTTAATCCCACGCAGCCAGCTGGCAACCAGCTGATTTGCTTGCTTCTAATCTGTATCCACCCGCCCCAACTGGCTCTCAAAAGCCAGCGGTTGAACTCTTGTATTTTTGACCCGCCAATCATTAGGCACCAAAAATTAACAAGCATATCAACACTCAAAAGTAAAAGACTGTTTGGATCTGGACCAAAAATCACGATCTTGGACGTATTCACGTATATCCTTCTGGGCTTCCTCAGAAGGTCCGAAACATTGGCTAAGTTGTGAACCCCCGGTGAATCCTCTGTCAGCTCTTGTAACTGGGATAATTGCTTGGCCATTTCCCAAACCATCCACTTGGATGGTTGCTAAATAAGGGGAGATGAAAACAACACACAATTGTTGGCCTTCTTCTGGGGGGGAACAAAAACTATGGCAAGAATGAGAAAATCCATCCCTTTCCATTCATTTGTTGTGGGCATTTAGATTCGTGGGCTATTCAGCATCCAAGTACAAAACCCGCCCGAGGCCCCCGCCGCACACCGCCGCGGCCTCCTGAGCTTCCTTG